AAGTTAAGATAAAATAAATTGAGATGAAAAATCAAACCACTCATGTTGTAAGTGGCATCTCTGTATAGAATGAATCAAGTAAATAGGAATATAGTAAATAGTAATGATGGCCACACTTCGAATGACGTTATAGTGGGGTAAGTTCGCGAATATGAATGTTCAAAGGGATTGGAAGATATGACCCGGTTTGTATTTGTAAATCAACATCACCTTCTTTATTCCAAATTATTTGGCATCGGTGGTCTATGAATTTAAATAAAAATAAGAAAAAAGTACCCAAAGAAAAAAAAATAAGGGTAAAAAAATAAATGAAAAAAAGTGAAGGGATGATAATTATATAATCATTATCTAATTCAGAAGGGTAATAATTTCATAAATAAATTAAGATGTGAAAATACTAAGAAGAAAAGATAAATAAATACATAGACAAATACATAATTTGGAAATACATGTTCTCTTATGATAATTTAACATGACTATATTATATAAAATAATCTCAATCATTTATAAATAAATCAACAAAGATGAAAGACAAAAAATAAGAAATAAATGACTTCGTATTTTCTAGATGTACTTGTTGATGAGGAATCTAAAGTGAATGATTAAGTAAAAAAATTTCACATTGGTTAATAATAAACTAGGTGAGCATCATATAAGTAGAATGACCCATACACTGAATGCCATAAGTTTTGGGTGTGATTGTGATGTTTCAAGCCCACTTAATATTGATTGTAATGTTCTAAGCTCACTTAATGTAGAAACCATAAATTTAATTATTTTTATGAAAATGTATATGGTTTCTTAAATGATTCTCATGTTATTTCTATTTAAAATAGAAACAAAAAATGCATATTCAAAAATGAAAACGAATACATTAACGAGTAAGATATTGAAACAATCAATTAGTGTTACTACTAATTAATTTTACCATTAGATCGATTATGTTGATCCAACGGTTATATTTATTTTCATCTTTGTATGGTTATGATTTCCTTAATAAATATAAAGTATTAAATATTAAGAATCATAACCATACAAAGATGGAAATAAATATAACCGTTAGATTAACATAATCGATCTAACGGTGAAATTGATGGGTAATAACATTAGTAGTAATACTAATTGATTGTTACATTATCTTTCCCCATACATTAAATGAATAAGAGTGAGTTAATGCTTAGTTCAAGTGTTAGTGACTATTATTTTCCTTCGTATCAGTTACCATTGCTTCAAATCACAAAGAAATCCTTCACCTTAGTTAGCGTTTTTTAGTTTTGAGTCATAAGAATAAATAAAATAGAATTGGAAGAGCCCAAATAAATATATTTCAAAAAAGTTTTCAATGGTATTTATAATGCTAAATTGTTATTAGATATATGATAATAAGAATGGAACATTATTTGACATCGAGAGCTATCAATATTAGCAATAATTTTTCGCGTGTTCGAGGAACACCTGATTTCCATATGGAACTAAATTGGTAGGGTTACCATAAAGCTTAATTTTGCGAAAAATAAAAAGAAGAAAAAACTCTAGCTTCTACTTTCAATTTGGCTATAAATATTCATCAAGTTAAGCTCCTTGCATTGCATGGGCTTTTTCTTTTGTTTTCATTTTGACACACGTTAGAAACTTCGAATTGCTGAAGCAAATTGCAAAAAATGGGGTGGTTGGCGTTGCTATTTGGAATTATTGTGTATTTTCTTTTTCCATCCTTTTCTTCTTCCCATTCATTATGCTCTCCCGATCAGAGCTCTGCCTTGCTTCAATTCAAGAATTCCTTCACTACTATTGATTATTTTTCTGATGTATGTGGTGACCAGTTTTATCCGAAGATAGAAACATGGGAAAATGAGATAGATTGCTGCTCATGGCTTGGTGTCACGTGCGACACCATCTCTGGTCACGTGATTGGCCTTGACCTCAGCTGCAGTGGGCTTCAAGGTAAAATCTATCCTAACAGTTCCCTTTTCCGCCTTTCTCATCTCCAAACACTGAACCTCGCTTTCAATGATTTCTCCAACTCCCAACTATCATCTCAGTTTGGAGGGTTTATGAGTCTCACGCACCTCAACTTGTCTGGTTGTGACTTTAAAGGTGAAATTTCTTCCTATATCTCGCACCTTACAGTCTCATCATAACCAGTTTGCTGGGCATATAAGTGCAATCTCATCATATTCCTTGAAGTTTCTAAATTTGTGCAGCAACAAGCTACAAGGCAATATTCCTGAATCATTTTTCAATCTTGTCAACCTTACAGTCTTATGTCTATGTTGTAAATAGTAATTATGCAGTCATTTATTAGTAATTATGTAGTCATTTATTGCTGTTGTAAATAGTAATTATGTAGTCATTTATTAGTAATTATGTAGTCATTTATTTGTTTTTATTTAGTCCGTTACTTGTATATTGGGCCAAGCCCATTAGGTCAAAATTAGGTCAAGAAGTCTCTATAAACATCAAATAGCTTCAGTGGCCCTATCAATTTTAAACTATTCTCCAAGCTTCAAAGTCTGGATACTCTTTTTCTTAGTGAATTATCACTAAACTTCGAATCCAATGTCAATTACAGCTTCCCTCTCCTAGAAGCGTTGGAGTTATCTTGTATCAATTTGACTGAATTTCCCAAATTATCTGGAAAATTCCCAAGTTGTTTTTTCTCAATCTGTCCAATAACAAACTTAGTGGAAGAGTACCCAATTGGTTACATGATATGCATTCATTGTCTTTTTTGGACCTCTCTCGAAACCTGTTGACATCACTGATGAATCAATTCTCAAGGAATTGCAAGCTCCAATTCCTTGATCTTAGTTTCAACTTACTGAGTGGTGATATTCCTTCATCAATTTGCAATGCAATTTCAATTTGGGTGCTCAACTTGTCCTACAACAAGTTGACAGGCATTATTCCACAATGCCTTGCAAACTTGTCATCCCTTTTAGTTTTGCATCTGCAGATGAACAAAATTTCTGGCACTTTGCCAAGTAGTACCTTTTCAATGTACCGGCTCAAAACACTGAATCTCAATGGCAACCAAATAGAAGGTATTTTGCCTAAATCTTTGTCCAACTGCACCCAATTGGAAGTTTTAAATATTGGAAACAATCAAATAGAGGATACATTTCCCCATTGGCTTCAGACTCTGCCAAATTTGAAATTACTGGTTTTGCGAGCCAATACCTCGAGGAAAACAGTTCGATACATTTTCAAATGATTCCTACGAGGGAAACTTGGGCTTATGTGGATTTCCATTGTCAATAAATTGCAACAAGAACACTGAACAACAACATTCTCCACCTTCAGCGACCTCTGAGAATGAAGAAAAGTTTGGATTTGGTTGGAAACCGGTGGCCATAGGATATGGATGTGGATTTGTATTTGGAGTGGGCTTGGGATGTTATCTACTGTTAATAGGAAAACCTCAATGGCTTGTGAGGATATTTGGAGTTCAGCTTAATAAGAGGGTCAAAAGAAGGACAAGGATGAGGACTACTCCAAGAATGACTCAGATGACATAATTGAGGTGCATGTCTTATTGCAATTATTTTCTTATTTAAGGTTTATGTTTTCTTGAAAAATAAATTTGAGTGTGATAACCTTGTCACACTCTTATTTTATCTGATTGGACTTTGAGTTGTAAGCTTGTAGTAAGAATGTATTGTACTTTATTTGGGTGAGCTTGTGAATGCAGTGTATTATTTAATAAAATTACCAGTCTGTCATATATATTTGCAGCTATTGTTGTATATTTATGATATAGTTGGAATGGTATTTACTGATATATACGGATTCCTGCAGTGAGCTCAGATCATACAGCAACCCTTTTATTACATGGTCCTTTCTAGAAAACTCAACATGTAATAAGCTCTTCATTCTACTTAGGTTCAACTCATTCTTAAGTCTGTGTTTACTTTCTTCAACTCTGTGTTTTGATGTTCAAGAAAAGAAATCTGATGGAAAGAAAATTCAGAAGCCGCACCCTTCTCTATGAGAGCATCATTCAGACTGCATATGAAATAATATCCAATCAACCAATTTAGGGGAATTGTCTCCCAAAAATGCACATAACCTATTAGGCATTGTCTACCAAAACTTTTCATTAAACTATTTTGTAGAAATTATTGTTTAATGTCATTTCATATCATTATTTAAGTTTATAATTTATTTTTTATAAGTAAATATGTCATTATTTTTAAATACTTTACTACTGAATCTTTTAGAAATTAATATTAATCACATTATCTATACTTGTGGTCAGTTTATTTGTATTTTTTTAAAAGAAAATTACTTTTTAATTAAAAAAATTCAAAACTATGATACTTAAATTAGTTTTTTGTTTTTTTATAAAATGTTAAAAAAATAGTTTCAGTATTCATTAAAAAGTTAAAAAAAAAAGTAATTTAAAAATTTAGTAAAATTACATAATAAAAGTATGTATAAAAAAAATTACATAATAAAAGTATTTTTTTTTCAAAAACTTATCTAAGTGTTCCTTAATTAACTGTTATAAGAGGATTCTCTCTTTTGAGATACACCTTTTATTTTTTTTTCTTTAAAGTTTCATTATTAAATATTTATATAATTATTATTTTTTGGTAGATAATATTTATATAATTATTTAAAAAATTAAAAATGATAAGCTTGTAAATACATTTGTTAATCAATTAAAAATTAAATATACTTTAATCTATATTTATCTTCAAATACTTCTTATTATATAAATATAATTTACTTAAATAAATATAATAACGAGTTCGACGCTAACGGTATTAAAAATATGAAACAAAAAATTATAAAATGACAAACATTTAAAGCCTCTGTACATAAATTACAAAAAAAAAAAGAGAAATATTTTAATCAAATTTAAAGTTGTAGTAAGTAAATTACCAAAAAAAAAAAAAGTTGTAGTAAGTAAATTTATTTTATTTTTACAAGAATTTGGAATGTAATAATTGTATTACACTCCCATCCCACTTGCTGTGCCGAACTGAGCATCTGGTGTCAAAGCCAACAAGTCTGCGGCTGAAGCTGATGCACGCGCCGCCTATTCCAATTCCCATTCTTCCCTCTCAAACCCTAATTTTTCTCCAATTCCACATTTCACAATTGCATTTTTTGATTACAATAGACCCAAGAAAGCAAAAAAAATTCATGTGCATACTTTTTTTCTCTTTTGTTGTTGTTCCCCTTCATAAGATGCATAACATAACCAATTTTTTTACGACTCTCTGATACCCGTTACTAAACAAAATAGAACAGCTTTCGTTGATTACTTGGGCCTTCTAAGGTTTTTTTTTTTTTTTGCGTCGAAATTTGATTTTGATTTTGTGGGTGTTTTTGTTTTGTTATGATTTTCTTTTTGTGGTGATGGCACTCGAATCTTGGGTTCTAGGTCACCATGTATTCATCTCCAGTTCCAAATTTCTTTACCCTGCGCATGAGAATCGGCTAAAGAGAATGTCCATCAAAGTTTCGGGTAGAAACACTGTATACCCATTTCCCTTGGTGTCCAATTGTGTTGGCCCATCCACTTTTACAAGCTTTAAGGTTTCAAGTTATGGACCAGATACCAAGTTACTAGGTAGAGCTCGCTTGAGGTGTTTAGGTAGTCGCAGTGATTGTTTTCACGAAAGAAATGCTGTTTCCAGTACCAACTGGAACTTTATACAGGAATTGCTGAAGAGGGGAATCATTCTGGTTGCAACTGTTTGTGGGATATTGGTCTTTGGATGTCCACGAGTTTTCGCTGTTGAGGGTGTAGTGAATGCTGGATATGGTGTTATTGGACAGAGCATACTTTTGCTTAGGAATGCATGGCCTAAAGTTTTGCAAGTTCTTCAAATATTTAAGGAGCAAGGTTTGATACTGGCATTGCTTTTGGGTCTTTCAGCTTTTTTCTCTATGGCAGAGACTTCAATTACCACACTTTGGCCTTGGAAGGTATCATAATTTTTCTCCTTTTCTGAATGATACTTATAAAACTAGGGACTATTCCTGGAAAACAGAAATTCTTTCCCCTATTAGATCATTATTCAGTATAGATAGACCTACTAAATTTAGTCTAGTTGATCAAAGGATGGTTGCCAGGGTTGGGTTTGGTTTTTGGAGGTGAACTTCCTGGAAATAGGCTCATTATCCTTGATCATATATGGTAATATTCTTCACAATGAAATTTATTTTGGTGTCCAATTGCTGAAAGCTTCTCATCTATGAAGAATGGAGTTTGTATCTTAGATGAGATTATACTGACCAGAAACTCATATGCTATCTACCTGTTTGCAACACCAAGATTTACTTGGCTCATTTATGTGATATGAGTTTCTGAAGTTATTAAGATATTAGTTTAGCAAGATTTGATATAAGAGCACAATATCAGACATATATTTCTTTAAATACATGAATTTGTGGCGATGTCTAAAATCTTGCTTTAGGTAAGGGTGGGAGGCGAGGGGAGGTTTAGTAACTTGGATCATGTAGCCAATGAAGTTGAATGCTAGTTAAAATCTAAAGCATCATAATTTGACAGTAATATTGGTTTGACTGCAGAGTTTATGAATGACTAAAGTAGTGCCTTACACATTACTTAGGCTAGCAATTTCATAACTCATCTACATGTTAGTAAGGAATTTCAATGCTACTGATCTAAACATCATTTGCTATATTTCCTTTTCCTTTCAGAAAAAGTTTTTGGTTCCTTTGATAAGAATGCATTTTTTGTATATTTGATTTGTAATTCCCTATGGTTATTTTAGCTGATTATAGTTTGAACTTTGAAGTCTAATTACTGTTGATGAAATGTGTAAGATTCGTGAGTTGGCTGAAAAGGAGTCTGAAAATGGCGTCTTCAGACTACTCCGAAGCGATGTTACTCGGTTCCTTACAACTATACTTATTGGCACAACGTATTTCCCTTTCATTGGTCTTATTATTGAAAAATATTATGTTTTTAAGACTTGATTATAATTTGTTTCTCATGTTGCTTTTTGTTGTACTCAGTGTGGTCAATATTGGGGCAACTGCTCTGGTCACAGAAGCTGCAACTGCAATATTTGGCGAAGCTGGTGTTAGCGCAGCAACAGGAGTCATGACTGTATGTTTTGATTTTCTTTCTTGACTGTTTGAAAAATTTACTTTTTCCAGAACATCAAAAACATGCTTAAATGGTTTATGCATAAATTTGATTATCCAAAATTCAAATTCAATGAGCCATGAGCCACTTGGTTATTATTCATTTCGGAACATTGAATCTTTCAGTATATCAACATGCTGCCTTTTAAACTTGCAAACTCCTGATGTGGTGGGAACAAGCATTTGACATGTAAAGCCTTCTAGCTTTGTCACCAATTTGTTAAAAAGGTGCCAGAGCTTACCTTTGAGTGGATAGAAAACGGGGTGATATAATCTGTTTTTTGGATTTATACATTTAGAGATGACCGAAGGTTAACCGTTTAGAGTTAGACAACATTATAGGGTGTAGGATATACCTTAAGTATTCTAATTTTTGTTACGTTTTTAGTTTAATGTTGTAGTATTTACAATATAAGTATAAATTATCTTTTCAAATAGAATGGTTGCATCAGAATGATCACAGAACATTGCACTGTGGGTTTCTTTTTGACCTAAGGACATTTTGTCCATGATCTCCTACATGATCTTTTATTTTCTGTAAAAAAAATTATTACTAATGCAACTTAACCAAAGCTTGGTCTGATTAGTTGAAGCTTCAAATTCTTTACGGTATCCTAGTCTCTTCCCAGATCCTTGGATGCTAGGCTCATTTCATAATCCCCTGCCAAAACATATAACAGTATATGTATATGAGTATATCTTTCTTTGCCACTCCCTTCTCTACCTCCTCTTGGTTATTGATTCTATCATTTTGAGCTGAAAAGAAGTTTTTCTCCTATAGTCTCATTGACAATATTTTTCTTTGTGTGTTCGTTTAGTTTAAGTGTTTAAAAAAAAGGTGTTCCTGTATGATGCAAAGAAAGGTCGTCTTTTCAGCTTAATTATGCATTTATTCATCCTCTTAATTCTCATGCATGATTTAAACTGATTATGAACTACTTTTTGTAGGAAAAAAAAAAGGATGCTATTTTTTACATAATTTCATAACTTTGTGTTTCCTCTCACCTCTTATAAGTATAATATATGGTGTGGAAGTTTATAAATATTTATGGAATTTTTTCTTACAATACCTGATTTCTCTGTTCTCTCCATAATCAAACAAGGTTGCCATTTTGCTTCTCACTGAAATCACTCCAAAAAGTATAGCGGTTCATAATGCCACAGAGGTGGCTCGGTTTGTGGTAAGTTGTAAATTTCTTGCCTTTTCTTTCATAATCTTTGGGAACAGAAATGATACTGATTAAACATTTATATTCATTTTTCACATGTCATTCTTATTTACATGATGTTTCTGCTTCAACTTCTCTTTATAACAAATATTGATTCCAATACCTTTAGGTCAGGCCAGTGGCATGGCTTTCGCTGGTATTGTATCCTGCAGGAAGAATTGTTACTTATCTTTCAATGGGGATGCTCAAATTGCTTGGCTTAAAAGGAAGAAGGTCCGCCGAAAAGATACCCAGAGATTAATCTTCTCTTATTATATTGTATTTATTGCTTTTGCTTCTTTATGGATTTTTTGTGAGGTCTAATTCTAATCTGTGATGCTAAATCTTATTCCCCTCATCACATGAATGATGTTTATTATTTGCACTCATGCTACATGATAACTGTCCATTTTCTAAGGTTGAGTTGTTTCGTAAAAGCTATAAGAGAACTAATGGAGAAATGAAATTATTATATTGATTATGAGGGATTTATATGTTGTAGATGGTTGGTAATAGTTTTTGGGTTTGTAATTTGGTCAAATCATATGGCACAAGGCAGCAAAATATTTTTTTTCTAACGTATTATTTTTTAACCCTGGTTTGGAAGATCGAGCTTGGTTTGCCAACTTAGTATGTAAATTTTACTATTCATATAGCTTAAAGAGTGGATATGCAACCCTTTGCCGTTATTGAGTAGTCTGATGTTTTTAAGATGCTCATTGTAAATATGTTTATAATATTCATTTGGAAAATGGCATGCATTGAAGCAACGAGTGTGGGACATTCTTTCTTCTTCTTTTTTTGAATTTCAATAACAAAATCATAGTTTACTTTACCAGTGAGCCATATGTAACTGAAGAGGAGCTAAAATTGATGCTAAGGGGTGCCGAATTAAGTGGGGCAATAGAGGAGGAAGAACAGGTAACAAATATTGGGTTTTTATTCTAATAAATAATAATATTGTTATATACTTGTCTTCAAAATTTTCAGTCTTTTTCTCTCATTTATAGAAAATAGAATTTTTTAAATATGTATCATAATTCAAATTTGTTTCTTTTGAAGAATTTTGTTATTTTTAAAAATTGGGAATTGAAATTTCATCTGAAAACCATGATTAAATTTTCAATTTTCCATGCGGAAATATGCACCCTTTTGTAATAATGACATATGTTTATTGTTATGCTTCTTCACAATACTTGCAAAACCCCTATCTTCATTGATTATTTTAGATTTTTTAATCCATTTTTATTTGTTTGGTTTCTGATAAGTATCTTGAATATAAATATAAATTACAGGATATGATTGAAAATGTGTTGGAGATAAAAGACACACATGTTAGAGAGGTTATGACACCTCTTGTTGATGTTGTTGCAATTGATGCAAGTTCAAGTCTTGTAGATTTTCACCACTTGTGGGTTACACATCAGTACTCAAGGTATTCAAAGATTCCCCAGCTTCAAATCTACAGTGATTTTTGTTTTCCAACGCTAACTGGATTATGACATGTTTCCTAGGGTGCCTGTTTTTGAGCAACGTGTTGATAATATAATGGGTATAGCATATGCAATGGATCTACTGGATTATGTTCAGAAGGTTGGGAGATTTTAACCCCCTTAACTATCATGAGATACAAGTGCTTTACCTATTAATTGTATCTCCCCAATCTCATAGTTTGCAGAATTATAATGTTTGATTTTGAAGGGCGAGTTGCTAGAAAGTACTACAGTTGGTGATATGGCTCAAAAGCCTGCATATTTCGTACCTGGTAAGTTTTATATATATCTTGAGATCACCTATGTTAGTGTTATTTCTCTCTATGACTGGTGTTGTATTTTAGACAGGACAGGTGGGTTTATTTGAACCCATCAGGCCATCATACCCTCCCAAGTGATCTTTTAACCTGCCTTCTTTTTATCTTATTTTATATACTAGAAGTGATAGATACGGGTATAAACAAAAAAAATCATTTAATTTAAGTATATAATTATAATGGCATGACAGTTTTTATGTTTTAAATTTGCAACTTGAATGAAAACTGACTAAAAAACTACATGTGTTTGAAATAAGTTATTCAAAATGCTCCTTATTGTAAAAAACCAATTCAACCCAAAAGCTTAAGCTATTGGGTGAGGGTCATTTTAATGGTTTATATTATTCTCTAACACGCCCCTTCACAAGTGAGCCCATTGGGCTTGAAGTGTGGACAATGCACAGGCTCACCTACCTGTACTAAGAAAGAAATTCCACTAGAAAGAAAGTGGGGGACGGTGAGGATCGAACCCGAGACACGAGGCTCTGATACCATGTAAAGAACCAATTCAACCCAAAAGCTTAAACTATTGGGTGAGGGTCATTTTAATAGTTTATATTATTCTCTAACACTTATATAGGAATTCTGTGTAAGTTGTGGGGCTTTGTGATTGAAATGAAATGGTGATTTTTCTATTTTAGTTAAACGAAACATTTGAGTATTTAGAAAGTAAAAAGAGGACATGAAATGAGGGAATCCCAAATCCCCTTTCTAAAATAGTATAGAAGTACTAAAAAAATTAACCTTAGTTTATGTCAATATATTTGTGATTTCGTGTGGCAATTAGGCTATGCCTTTATTGCTATCAATTCTATGAGATGACTAAAGACTAAATGTTAACCCAACATTCTTTGCTAACAAGTTCAGAGCAGAAGAGTATCTCAGACTCTCAGGATACTTATTTAGTACGATAATGTTGGTTTTGCAAGACATGTGATTAAAGATTCTAAAAGAGCAAATCCCGGTGCATAAGACTTCCCAATTTGCGAGGATAGGGGTGAGGGTTAATCGTACACAACTTTATCCTTATATTTTTTGAAAAGAGGTTGTTTTCTAAATTCGAACCTATGACCTTCCGATGACAAGCAGTATAACCTTACTGCTGCTCTAAGGCTCGCCCTCATGTGATTAAAGATTCTAAAAGAATCAAATTTGTATGTAAGCTCTGATATTTGGGATTACCTAGTTGGACAAATATAGCTAAATTGGAGATGACCGACTCTTTTGTACATCCATTAGGTTGGCCATGTGCATCAACAACGTAGTCTTATTCATTTGTCCAAAAAGGAACAGAAGATAGCAATGGAAGGAAGATAAATGCTGGTTATCTACTGTGGGCAATAGTGCAAAGATCATTATGGATAAAGTTCGTAGTACTAATAAAACTTTATTCATTTTACCTGATGACTGTAATTGGGCCCGATCGAATGGGAAAGGAAAATTCAACAAGTCAGTAATACTCTCTTAATTAAAATCCACTCTCAGGCTCATTCTTCATTTGGCATTTTTTGATCTAAATTGGAGGTGCATTAAAGCAAGTTTCTTTTTCACTCATTGCATAGCCATCTCTGCTGTGTTGATGATGCTACTCCATATATTTCAGAGCATTTTCAGAATAGATTCCGGAGGCTCTGAATTGTCGTTCTAACCCCTTCAGATTCTGTTCTAGCTAATATGCTATCATTTTTTCACCAAGATATCCTTTTTCTGTTGATAATTCTTGTAATGTCTTTTACTCCCTGTTATAACACATACATACCAGTTGGAATGGTAGAAGGGAAGTGTTCAACAGTTTGGCTTTCTGTCAGTTACTAATATTTTATAATGAAATATTCGTTGATGTATGGACAACGAATTAAACAGCAGGTGGCTTATTATGTCTTGACTGATAAATTTAATGAATATGATTTTTCTCATATTGAAATTGAATTGTTAAACTGTTTGAATTGTTTGGGATAGGAACACTTTGTTTAACTTGGTGCAGAATGTTGGATGAATAAATTCTTATTACTGCTTTTGCAGATTCAATGTCTGTTTGGAATCTTCTTAGAGAGTTTCGAATCAGGAAGGTTCACATGGCTGTCGTTCTTAATGAGTATGGTGGAACTGTCGGAGTATGTGCATGCTATACCAGAATACAACCAACTCAGATCTGTTTGTTTGACATAAATATGAACATATGAATGTGTAAATTTATGACTCACTGAAGATCTATATGCCATGCTAATTACAACCACTGACCCAAAAAAAGTATATCGAAGATATCAATTAGAACATACTCTCACTATGAGTGATTGTTTCTTTCAACATCTTTTGTAACTATATACCAACCTCTTTTTTATGTTAATTTTAAATAAAAGCTAATAGAATCAACATGGAGATCATACCAGTCATCATGAACTATTGCAAGAATATTCATAAACAATCCTGTAGAAATATTAGCTTATGTTATTGTAGATACATGTCTAAGTATGCTACAGCTGTACTCTTGTTCTCTAATATATGTTAGATTACTTCTCTCACTTTACAGGTCCAAAATCATCGTAATAACCAAAATTCTTTCTGGTTACATTGTTATTCTGATTTCCTAAATGCCCTTATTTACCCACTATTCACATCATTCTCTTGCCCTTATCTTTCCTAGTTCTTGTTACAATTAATTGTGAATTTCTAATAACAGTTTTCCTCCAATTCTTTGAATTCATTTTGTTAGTGATTTTATGCTTCATCCTTCCACATTCTTATTGCATTTAACAATAGCTAGTTTAAGACTGGATGTAGTAAATCCTTTTTATTGATTGCTAAATTGAGAGGGGTTCACTTCTTTAGACAAAGTTTATTAGATTGTTAATAAACACTCCAAGTCTTCTGAAATCCTTTGTGTGTGATGTGCCTATAAGTACTAACAGTTTTCACAAGGTGATGTTTATTGAATCTAGATGTCCTATTTATATTGCTATTTTACAGCTTGTAACTCTTGAAGATGTTGTTGAGGAAATTGTTGGTGAAATTTTTGATGAAAATGACTCAAAGGTAAAGCTACTGTAAATTCTTCTGCTTAGTCTTTACTTCATTTCTTTCAAATTTTAGTATATTAGACATGTTAGTATGCCTTCTGTAGCTAGAGCAGTACAATCTTCATTCATGTTTTTCTCAGCAGGAAAAATAAAAATTATATTTTTGTACTATTCTGTCATTCCTACAAATTTAACGGACATGAGATACTCATAATGTTTGACCGTTTAAGTCATTGTCTCTAACAGCTGTATGACATTAATGCATTTTGGATTTAGCTATTAGTGGCTAATTATGCAATTCTGAATATAAAAATATTTTATTTTTTATGTGCCTGCTAATATGATTTACATGCTGATTTTTCATTAAAAAAACCTTTTTATCTTTTGTGGTGATTCTACAGGAGGAGATACAGAAAAAAACTGGCTACGTAGTAATGCGAGCTGAGGGTGTATTTGACGTAGATGCAAACACATCTATTGATCAGCTCTCTGAAGATTTGAACATCAAGATGCCAGAGGTTCACCACTTTTTCATACATGCAACTTACATATTAGTCTTCTGATGGCCTTGTTTGTAACCATGCTCAACAATCTTTTATTAGTTGTTTGGAGTTAGTGTGATTTTCATTGTACCACCCAGTCAGGTATTCCTTTTAAGAAAAACAATATCCAAGATCACGATTTGTTATTAGTAGTAGAACCAATAATCAAGTTGTTTGTGAATTTTTCCTTCAGAACCATTGTAGCATTGTCCTTGAAGATTATAATTATACACTTTTTATGATGTAGCAAACCATATTCTTATCTTGCAGTTGTAGGCCCTAGCATCTTTGCATCTCAAATACGCCCCTGGTCCATTGGATTTTAAGCAGCTTAGTTTAAAACATTTCTTATGCTAGCTGTTATTTCTACACAAATTGCGGACTAAATATGGGAAATATGTAACCGTGCTATATTTTGAAGAGATTTTTGCTGTTAACTATAATTGGGTTTTATGAATCCCTGGGTTAGAGGGTTAAGACGATGATCTCATTTAATTAACTACCGGTACTACTCATTGCTAAGTCTATTTAAAAATTTCAGGCTCTTAATATGTAGGATACTTCTACCCTTTCAGGGTCACCAATATGAGACAGTGTCAGGCTTTGTATGTGAAGCGTTTGGATACATCCCAAGGACAGGTGAGTGCATCAAAGTAGTTCTTGAAAGGGAAGATGAAGATGATGATGATAATAATGAGTCCGATGCTGACCACCAGGATCAGAAGCAGAAGAACCAGATTTTCAAACTTGAGGTAGTCTTATTTATTTTTGCTTATATCCTAAGTTGGTAGTAATAGAGTAAGCGTAACACTACCTTCCTATTACTCAAGTTACGCTAAGGTTGTCAATGTGATTTTCCTCAAGAAGCTTTTTCAAAAAAATTGTGCCTTGATTTCTGTTTTTTGGACATACGGTTAGAGAATGTCTCACCTCGTAGGGTCAACTATGTTGTCACAGGATTGGAATTATATTTTGCATTGTTTATAATTAAGTGTATTATAAGAGGGTGAATCTGCAGCAATGGTAAAGTCATTCCTGTATGATTAAAAAGTTATGGATTCGAATTCAGAAAATAATTTCTTTGCAATTATGCAAGAGTAAAGCTATATACAAATATTGTTCTCACCTCTCCCTCGCTCGTCGGGGTTTAATGGCTTTGTTGTCTTTGGTGCAGATACTAGCAGGAAATGCCAGAAAGGTGAGCGCTGTTCGGTTTGAAAGGATAAATAATGAAAATGAAATGTTGGAGACTAAAGAAGTAACTCGGTTGGTCCCTAAGATCATAAAAAGAAAATGGAGCAGTGGGGAGGATTCGGAGGATGATGCAGGATATGACGGAGAAGCATTTGCAAAGAAACCACAAGATGACATGTCTAGTGAATATCTAGTTGATCAGGAAATTTCTAACAAAGATTAAGTTGTTTTTTTCTTCATCTTTTTCTGCTTTCTTTATTTGGCATGTTTTTGTGCCATTTTTTGCTACACCATATAAGATGGCAAGTTTGAGATACATGTAGAAAATGAGAATCAATGATGAAAAAGCGCACACAACCTTTCAAAGACAAATAGAGGCGTCTATGCTAACGGGAAGTCTTTCAGGCTTGCGTGTAATAAAGATGGAGGTTTGATCCCTGTCATGCTCTACGTAAACTCCCCACCCCCAACACACTCACACACCAATATATATATATATATATATATATATATATATATATATATATATATATTCACATTAAAAAAAAAAATCACGTATTTTTTCTCTCATAATTTTTATTTTTTGTGTCTATCTCTCTCTTAAAATGATCAAATAGAGCCACTTGCAAAATAGAAAGTCAAAAGTAAATAATCAAAAGAGTAAGGGGTTTTACTATTTGCAATTGGATTCTTGATCCTGTAAATCTGAAGCCTATTCTGCCTCGCCAGAGCTGATCCTTGTTAGCCATTCTCACATTCAAATCCACTGTTTCGCTACACTCCATTCCCATTCCCGTTGACTCATCTAGTGGTATGTTCAGATCAGGAATTCCAATTGGGCCCATTTCATTCTTGTTAGTATTGGCCCATTTTATCTTCAATGAGTTCAAAATGTCATCGTTTGAGATTATAAAATTAAAAAATTATAATGATAAAGACATAACACAGCAATATATTTGGACTCACCGGAGATAATTTATCTTCATTGTCTGAAGAAATCCTTTACCATATATATATATATATATATATATATATATATATATATATATATATATATATAAACAAAAGGCCTAAGCCACAAAAAAAAAATCTAACTATTACAACTCAAAGCACGAAGTCTTCCAACAGCTGACAGATCAACAAACAACAGTAATATGGCATTCACCAACCAGTCTCCACACGAGTTACACTCCCTCAAAGTATGCTTGAAAGTCACAAATTAGTTTTTATCGATCCATGTCCGTATGCGAGAAATCAAATAATTCTCACAGACTGTTGCACCATTTCTAGTGAGCATGGTGATCACACTTGTTGAATCACTTTCAATAATGATGTTACGCTATCCAGCATTTCAAGCCATCTTCAACCCCCTAAGGACACCCCATAATTCAGCTTTGAATGAAGAACATCTCACTAATTTATACGCAAAGCCACCAAGCCCCTCACCACATTCATCTCGAATGACACCCCCACAAGCAGTTGGACAAGGGTTACCACGTGTAGCCCCATTCGTATTAACCTTGACAACACCCGAATTGAAAAACTGCCAAGATATGTTCGCTACCATGATTCTTCTGTCAGAAGTCAAATTTTGTACATTTGCTTGCAACCTCTTTCACATCCTTTGCAAAGATTTCGGATTAGTTTTTCTTTCATGAAAACGAGCATCAGCGAACCATACATTCTTTCATTTTGCCAATGTCAAATCTTCCAGCATGTTAGAAAGAAAGTAGTTAGCCATTTTTTTATCTTGCCTATTATTAACATGCATGACAATATTTTCCGACAACCACTGGTCCATATCTCCAAATAAGAAATCATTAACTTTATCACTTGACACTAGTTTAAGTCACAAGAATTTGGCTTCAGTATAGTCCCGAATAACATGTGAAATAGTCTCCCTCTTTAGGCCGCAAACTGGCACATATCATCTGCCTCACCCCACTGTGCCATTCTAAATCTTATCAAAAATCTCTTGCACATCACTTTCTACATCATTATTTTTACCTTTCCACATCATTATTTTTACCTTCTCAAACAAAATGATCTGATTTTACTATTGAATGCGTCGTACATAAAACGACATTAAAAATCCTAAAGCATATTGCGAAATCAATTTAAATTTGATCATAAATTAGAACTATGTATCGATCGAGTCTACGGAAGACCGTACTAAATTATGATTCAGAATAATAAAATTGAAATTCGTTTTAGATTATGATTAAAAGACTTATGAAAAGTATAAAATGAAAATTTGAGTGTCATTAATTTATATAATTATTAACTATCACAGATAAAATATAAAACTGTATCTTTAAGGATGAATTAACATTTAAATATAACTAGAATGAATGCATGGTGTTGACTTTTGAAACAATTTTTTAATTTGTCCACACCATGTCGGGAAAAATTTTAAATATCAAAAAATCATAGAGGTCAAATAGGAACAAGTGAAGGTGGCAATGCTAATCTGGCAATCCTAGTTTTGCCTTGTATTAAAGATATATTGTACCGTACAATTTGTACGCACGTGATGTTACTCTTATTGGCTTACGTGCTCCCTCTTTACATTTTTTTTTTTTTTTGGCAACATGTTCTTTCTTTTTTTAAGGACTAGAAGCACCTTATCTCAATATTATTAAATTCGACTCAATTATTGATTTGGTTGAAGTACTTTAGTTATTGATTCAATCAGTCCATCACTAATTCAATCGCATAACTCAATAAATATATATAAATTTATTATTTATATTTAAAAATTATAAATATATTCAAATCTATATAGAAAATGATATCAATTACAAATATTTTAATATAAAAATAATAAATTATACATCATTGTCGAACAAAAGATCAATCAATCATATAATATTTCTGATACTGGTGCTTCAGGTTTAGTAGACAACATTTCTAACTATAAATTAAATCAAAATTCGCTGCATATTGCATAACCAAGATATTAATAGTGTTGTATGTACATAATCTACGTAACTTAACAAGCAACACATCACTCAAATATTTCAATATAAAACATACCATTTATGTGTGTGAGTGAAAAAAACAAAAGCATCAATTGATGAGAACAAATTTTTTTTTCATGAATTGGGCCGGGACACCATTTTATGACCAGTTCACTGTTTTTGCCTTTCTGGTCGTTCTGAACGGGTCGGTCCGATTTTTATAATATTGCCTTTTCTACCAAACACCTTTGACATAGATGATAAGGAGTCTAAGTCTCTTAATCAAAAGTCCTGACTTCAAGCTCTGAGAATAAAAAAAAAGATTTTAGAGAATTGTCCCCATAACAGAGTGCAAGAAGTACTTAAATCGAATACAGTCCGAATAAATAGGTTGGAAAATTAAAAAAAATGCACCTTCTCCGTAACTGATTTCATAATGAACACAGAAATATATACATTTTTTATTAACAGAGACACGTATTAGCGCTTTCATGAATTATTCAACTGAAATTCTTTTTTTAATATTTCTTTTATTCATTTAGAAGTAGGTTTTATTTACAATTATTTTTCACAACATCTTACAATTATTTAAATATTTTCATATCAAAATCAAATTTATCCCTCAATTGATGCCTTTTCATTATTATTGATTTAATTTTAACATAAAGATAAAAAAATTATTTGCGAGGAAAAAATATTATAACTATACCTCCCTCATTTATGTAATAAAATGATTAGTATAGCTAACCAGTAAACACAATTAAAGATGAATTATTAATTGGTTGAGTTTGGAAAAATTTTGAAAAAGAAAAAAGTAATTTTGCGGTTTTTTTTAAATATTATTTTAAAATTTTGAAAACAATACTAATTTTTTTTAAAAAAGATATTAAAAATATTATAAATTTTTTAAAATATCTTTAATTAAAAAAATCCCCTTAAAAATACAAACAAATGGCACAATGTATGTTTAATAGACAAAAATATAAGTGAATGTTTCAATTAACTCGTAAGAATCTGAAATCAGATTTCAGTTTTTAGGAGAAGAGTATTTTATTAAAAAGACACGCTGTGTTATATAACCTATATTGTATATTCATAAATCAAAAAAATAAAAATAAAAATATTTAAACATGATGTCGTAGTATGCCTATTAAACAAGTGAACTTATTTGTCCATCCCCCTCCCCTTTTTATAACGTTATCCATTTGCTCGTAAAAATTAAGTGAATTGGACTTGAAACCATTAATTCTAGGGGTGTTCGCAGTCTGGATTGGATCGGTTTTGGAAGTAAAAATCATCCGATCCAATCTCTTCGGTTTGATCACGTAATCATCCATTCGGTTTGGACTTTTTTTCAAATCCGATCCGATCCAATCCAATTTTTTTCGGTTTGGATTGGATTGGATTGGTTTTCGGTATTTTAAAAATCCTAAAATTTGTTTTTTGATTATTGCTCAAATAACAACTTTTGTATATATTGACTTTGTAATTTTATTTTATTTAAATACAAAAGTATCAGTAAACGATAATATAGATTTTTTTTTTGGACAATAAGATATGAAGCTCTACATATATAAAATTTTGTTGATGAGACGTGACTAGATTTTTTCTTGAGTTTAGTTGATGGATTAATGGGTCTTGGGTTTAGAAATTTTTGAACTATGATGAGGGAAAGACCCAAGTAGGTAGAGGAAAATTAATATATTGGATCGGTTTTCATCTACCAATCCGAAAATCGATCCAATCCAATTAAAATTTGCGGGTTTTTTTTCGATTTTCGGTTTATTCGGTTTTCGATTTTTCGGTTCGGTTACTGTGGTTTGAATCTGTTTGGATCGGTTGATGAACACCCCTAATTAATCCATTTAAATGAATTTATTTTCGGTCTTGTTTTTTGATAAATTACTTGACCAGTCCAATTAGAGCTGAGTAGGACCATATAGCGACCAAGTTTTCCCTACCAAATTTTAACACAATTGCGTTCTCAAGAACTCAAACTCAAAACCACTGGTTGAGAGGATAGGAATGTTGCCTCCCTTCGTTTACACCTTAGGATGAGCCACTAATTTTTCTGGTGTCTTCTGTATCATAGGTGCTGAAATACCTTTTCCCTTATGTTCTATACTCCTCTCGACAATAGGAATGTTTCTCCTGCAAGTCTTTGGTTGACCGTTAATGGAGGCTAGCCTCACCACTTCTACTTTTTTGTCCACTTGGGTCGTCGGAACAGCTCTTGGCTTTCGCCCCTTTGATGCTCTTTGGACCGCCATACATGCCCCAAATGCGTCGTCCTTCTCTTTTTCAATAACTGCTATTGTATTCGTCGTGGATGAGCCTACTATAGTGTCCTTCGATCCTCCTTGATTGTTTGGATCATGCACCTCTTACCACGAGAGAAGCATATCATGTGTAGTCCTTCGTATTCTACATGGAAAACTCTATTGCCAATCTTAAACTTTGAT